ATATAAATATACAAAATAAAATATCAATACGTGCGATATATAGACAATAAATACAATAAAATAACATATAAATAATTAATACATGAAATTATATAAATTACTAATACATAATAAAAGATATGTACACAATTATATATATATATATATATATATATATATATATATATATATATATATATATATATATATATATATACATAAACAAGCTTACATATCTACCCAAAAATATATATATAAATTACAAAATTCCTCAAACAATAATATAAAGTTGATAAATACAATAAATACATAATCACATAATTTATCCTAACGGTGTCCAAACGATTGAGGCAAGTGATGCTCTTTATGTAGTCGCTTAAAGATTACAATAGTTTGTACTTCATGTATACGCAAATGTAGGGCATTCCAGAACTTCATAGACTGGACAGTAAAAGATTTATTAAAAAATTATATATTGTGAGTTGATACCCTTAAAATGAATTTTCTTGAAGAGCGTAGAGGTTCCCCAGGAAGGCCCACAAAATTAAACTTCTCCTTTAGATAGGGAGGAGTAGAAGGGTGAAATAATAAACAGTACAGAATAGAAAGAATATGCATGTTCCGGCGAAGTCGGATAGGTAACCACTTGAGACGTGAGCGAAATTGGGAAATATGATCAAATTTGCGCAATCCAAATATGAACCGAATACTAATAGTATTTTGAAGTCTCTCAGGCTTATTAGAATAGAATAGAATAGAATAGAAAAAAAATGATCGAGTCAGTTATTTCAATATTACAGACAGACACTTCAATTTTATTTATATGTATAGATTATATACTTATAAAATTGGTACTAATCAAAATATTGTTAAATCTATGCATGTAGTAGGTATGCGACGCGCCGCGGCTCGTAATTCAATCAGCGCTAACGGACGGACATAGCGCCCTTATTAGATTAGACGGCGGCCACAATTACGTAGATCAGATTTACATCTGTTCTGCCACCGTTAAAGTTACGCGCCTTCTAAACCAAAACTACTTTATTAAACCAACTTTATACAAATGATTTTATTTAGTGCTGCGTGAAATAAAATAATATTACCAATCTTTTCCTCTTAACAGTTCATTTTTCTAATCTTAAATATAATGTTTGTAATAAAATCAAGAGCTGTGGTAGCTCAGATGATTAGCGCTCGCTTTAAGTTTCACAGTACGCGAGCAACCCGGGTTCGATCCCCGCCGGCACCAATCAAAAATGTTAACTGCAATTTTAAGTGCTGATTCTCCACGTGCTCGGCGGTGAAGGTAAACATCATGAGGAAACCTCCATGTCTGAGAAATAAGAAAAAAATATTTCAAAAACATGTGGAGTTCGCCAACACGCTTTGGGGCAGCGCGGCGGGCACTTCCTTGCCCTAAAAACCCTTTCAAAAATGAGAGGAGGACTGTGCCCAGCTGTGTGCTTAACTTTAATAAAATCAAAATGTTTATAAATTTGTGTAAATTTTATAATTTTCATTTTTTTCATCCTTAATGATTTAAAATGTCGAATATAAATCGTTGCTTAACATTTTAAAAGAGCCAGGTTTCGCCCACGAGACAGGTTGTCGTCGTTAGAGGCGCTACCGTCCTATTGCATAATAAAATGGGCGAAGTTTCCTCAAGTCCATTATAAATTAGACAGCGGCAGAGAACCGCATCACTTGAGATAGGTATGATGTGACCCGGCACGAGTCAGCTAACAAACTTCCTTCTATATTGCCTTCGCAATCTTGATAAAAAGAACTACCCGTGATTCAAACTTATCGCTGGATTAAAAGATGAAGTATGCTCTCAAACTTTTAAATTTTATAAATTGGCCTTCTTTACTTGCTTTATTTGCTCAATGTTTACCACAATAAAGAGCCAAGACATTTTCCTTTTACGCTGTAACGACTAACATTCTATATTGTGCTTCATATGTATGTAACATTTTTAGGACAAACGTCGCATTTGCTTTCCAAATTGAAGTTCTAAGAAATACTTTCATTGAATGAAAAGTTTAAAAGTAGAAGATAACGCAATTGTTTCAAGTGTAACAATCTCTATAAAATGCATTTTAAGCGGTTAATGCCTTGGAAATTGGTTCAAAGCGGGATCGTGATAGCAGCTTCTTACAATTACACAGATGTCGCACTGGGCTCTGTACCAATGGCGAATGGCGACCCGTTAACATTTAACTTTGCTAGGTATTTATACTTTAACGTCGGCATTAAAACACATCAACGATGTTTGTCCGACATTACTAATAAATATCTTACATAAAAATCTAATGATTTGCAATTTATATGTCAACCTATGTTATATTTCAAGTAAAAAACCTTTTAGAGTAAAAGGAAATAGAAACTTCGGTAATATAAAAAGACCTTAAAAAATCTGTTACATTCAGGCTTATACTATGAAGAAATGTAATATTAAAGACTTAGAAAGGGGGCGACTTTTTAATTTCCGTTACGTCAATCGTCAAATTTAAAAGACGTTCCGAATTCAGTCACGCAACATATTTTGTTGGTTTGTCGTGATTTTCATGATTTCTATACATATAAATACCTGTCTATTAATATTTTTCAATTTCGTTCAATGACGAAGGTAATTTTTTTAAATATCTTTTTAAATTTCATTTCTTAATCTTCTTCATCTTCATTATAGCCCTTCACAAGTCCACTGTTGAACATAGGTCTCTTCCAAGCAATGCAGTCCTGTTTTTTAGATGGGGAAATGCCTACGCATAGTTATCACGCAGGGGCAAGGACATAACCCGTCCTACTGTAGGACTGACTAAACTTCCAGTGTTCCTAGTGTTCCACCTTCACCGCTTATTGGCAGAGCCACGGGAACGCTTTCCCACACATCTGCGACCACACCGGCGCCGTACCACCCCGTGGCAGCTCCTCCTAGGGAAAGGATAACACCTCCCCCTTCTCCTTCTCAGGTTAGGCGCACCGGAAACACGAGACGCGTCCACCTCCGCAGCCTCTAATTTCATTTAGCCTTGGGAGGGCTCGCTGCGCGGAGGCCATGAGGCCAGGAACGTCGAGCACTCATAAGAATTAGCCATCCCGACCCCAGTGGCGTATCTGGTCTCTGGCTCCGCTGCCAACCAAGTTTCGGCCGTGGAGCGTAGGGAGAGCGACGCATCGCAACCCCCCCCCCCCGCGGAACCTCCACCACCGCATCAATGGTGCGGCCCCGTTAGAGTCGTGGAAGAAGCACTACACACTTCTCTTCTCCCGCGACTCCATCTAGGCTGCGACGGGAAGGAGGACACCCCTCCCGCCACAGTCCAAGAACGCGCATCCGGACTGGGCTAGGCAAACCCAATCGGAGCGGCAAACCTCGGGCTGACCCTAAACAGCCTCTACAGCCAGCCAAGTGAATTTCTCTTCATGGGGTCACCCTAAACTTCGTTTATCGGTACGAGGTTGTCACGCTAAAACGTTTTTTTCGATTATCGGTTCTTCGAGCTATATACCATAAACTTCAAAGTTATTTAAATTTTACGAACTTGTACAGCATTATACATGAAAAAAGTCGTCATTCTAAATTTAAAATTTATTGTGAGCTTGACTCCTGAGGTTATTAGTAAACGAACTGCTCAGATCTTAGTATAATAAAAAAATAAACAGAAAAATGCAGTTTAAAATTTAAAGTTACAGGCTGAATACATCTCGCTGCAATTTGGTCAATCAAAATGGTATAGGATAGGCCGCCTTTCATTTGTAAGAAGTATGGATTGCAGTGCAAGAAATTGTGATCCTGAAATCCCATGGTATTCAGAGTTTTCGGAAACCCGAGGGTTCCCGCACCAGCTTGCGAATATGCACGAAGATCTGTCGCCAAAATCGTGATCTCCTCGATGAATCGAGCAAAATCGAAGAAAGGGCGCATGGACATTACTTATTATTTAAAAAAATATAATTACTTTCAAATTTGATTTTAAATTACTAAAAAGCACTTATTTTATATACAGTAGTACATTGTATATACAGTATACATACTCATAGGTAATCTGTATAGTCTCGTAATTTTCTCGTTAAGACTTTTCATTTGATACCTGAATTCAATTTGATGTCTGAATAAGTCCTTATTTTGGATTTTAGGCCTTTTACCCACGCGAGAGAACGTATTTTCAACGATACTTCATTTGTCGAAATATGACGAGGAGTTTAAGAGACCTGAGGGATCAGATGAACAGACATAAATATATACCTCCATTTGATTGATGATGTGAGTTGAAATAATTCTTTTTACCCGACTACGGGGTAAAAGAAATCATTTCAACCGGTTCAGGGGTTTTTGTGAAAGAGGTGAACATACCTAAAAACAAACTTACATTACAAAGGACAGTGACAAACAAGATAACCGATTGAATGACCTTAGTGGTACGGCTTCTAATGATATTAATCTATGTTCACACCTGTGCACGTGCATTTTATAACAAAATGCTGTTTAAAATATCTTCACATTAACATTTCACAACGGCATGCACATATCATATCATATTTAATATATAAAAATGTATATTTTTTTGCTCGTATTTTATGCGCTGCCATACCGTCCATCAGATTGCGGTAGGTAAAACCTTGTCAACTTATTGCTTGTACTTGCGCGAAGGCTATAGGCATAGTACAAATAATTTATGGTAGGTGGAGCGCGTGTGATACCGACAAATTTATTTGAAAGTTATACATCGCTCAACTTCAATTAATGAATTATCATTCCTAATTAAACAATATAACTCTTCCAAATTTAAAACCACATTTTCACAATTATTTCTTCTGGGGCAGTATCGCGCCGGGTACCAGCTAGTTATGTATGATAAATTATATTAAATATGTTGAGGTCAAAGTAATTATTTTTCCTCAGCAACCCTTTAACATTCAGTATCACAGGATATCTAGGGCACATAATGTCTTAAGAGATAATAAAACATCGACTGGCTATTACGATAAAGAGTAACACGTGCCCTTATTTTACCTAGGTGGCATGGATGCATTTTGAACAGTCGGCGATTCTGACTGTACACAACCACGTAATTACACGTAACCCTCGCGTGAGCGTGACTCACGACAAACATCGAACTTGGTTCCTGCATATCTCTGACGTACGTGAAGAAGATCGCGGCCGCTATATGTGTCAAATTAACACCGTTACTGCCAAAACCCAGTTCGGATATCTTCATGTTGTAGGTAAGTGGTTCAGTAATGCTTATTAATTTATAACAAATCACTATTGTAACCAGTAAAAAGGCTGTCAATTTTAACATCATTATTGTTTTCAATATATAGTACATTTTTAAATTAGAGTAACTTCATGTTTGCAATTTATTAATTTTAATGAAAAGCAAAGGGTTTATGTTTCTAGCTGGTTTTGGTTTTAAACGAGGAAAGCACATTTAAATATTCTGGTGCACAAACATAAGATATCTTTAGAAGTATTTTTGTATTATTTAGTTAAATGCGGACTTATGAATATAAGGATATAATTGAAAATTGCTAAAACCTAACTTCTTATACTGGTGATGGAAAGCAACATTACCAGTTGAGCTGGAGCTCGTCGATCACCACCACCCTGTCTAATCTGATCAGTACATTTAAAACTTCCTAGTAGTGCATACCAGCTGGCGCATATTTGGAATAGGGCTTTCCAAATATGCGCCAGCTCCGAGATTATTTTTAAGAACGTTTTCGTTGATGTTGTAGATTAAAATACGTTCAACAATGTATTATTAAATATTTAATTCCTACATAAAGTATGTAATAAAATTTTGCACATTTCATTTTGTTTCAGTTATTCAATTTCGTTTCAAAATCATAAATGTATAGCAAATATATAGACATATATAAACATGACACATAGTTCCAAAACTTAACTTATCCTCAATTACAGTGCCACCTTCAATCGACGACTCGTTGAGCTCGAGCGACGTTATCGTCCGAGAGGGAGCTAACGTCACTCTGACGTGTCGCGCTAATGGCTCTCCTAAGCCTACCATCAAGTGGAAACGGGATGACAGCTCAAAAATCTCCATCAGCAAAGGGCATTCAGGTTCGTCCTTATTAAGGATGATGAAATAATTTACTTAAAACCGTAACAATTGACACTTAAATTCATCTTATGATTGCAGTTTCCGAATGGGAAGGCGAAGTGTTGGAAATGGCTAGAATATCTCGATTAGACATGGGTGCATACTTATGCATTGCTAGTAATGGTGTCCCACCCACTGTATCTAAAAGAGTCAAAGTGAGCGTTGATTGTAAGTGTTCCTAATAAAAAGTAATAAAATGCCTATACAGGGTTATTTTACAATAACCGGCCAAATTTGCAGAGAAGGTTTAGAATAAATAATATAGGGAAATGGTGAAGAAAAATTAATTTAAAACAAAAACCTCAAATATGGTCCTTTTTATCTTTTACGAATTTAAATGCGTGGTAATGCATTATTTTAACTGACTTTACTGCGCACGCACACATTAATTTGTAAAGATGGATCGGTAGGCAAAAACGTTGATGCCCATAAATCACATTTGGTATAATTTCAAATAAAAGTAGAAGCCTCATTTACTCGTATTTTCAAAAACTGCAATAATCATTATTTTTATATGTGAACTTAAATTTAAGATTTGGCTATTCTTTGAAAATAACCCTGTATATAAATTCTATACAACTTTATCATCACTTTATATTTTTTCAGTTCCACCTATGTTATGGATACCACATCAACTTGTGGGGGCTCCCTTATATTACAACGTAACCTTAGAATGTTTCACTGAAGCTCATCCCACTTCGTTAAATTATTGGACCAGAGACGATGGTAATATGATCCACGAGAGTCCTAAATACCATATGGAGAATATAATAGGTGTACCAGCTTATAAGACGCACATGAAACTGCTCATAAGACATATTGTGACAGAAGATTATGGCACGTATAAATGTGTTGCTAAAAACCCAAGAGGAGAATCCGACGGCACTATACGATTATACAGTAAGTATAGTTTAAAATGAGATGAGATGATTGTAAAATAAGTGCTCATACTTATAAATTACCTTCCTTTTTAGCTTCTTCGCCACCAACGACAACTCCCGATCCTCGGGCCACCATTCCACCAGCTTCTCGCCCACCTCGGCGAGATAGTCCAGTAGCCGACAAAGGTTGTAAATTCCAAACAAATTTTAAAGTTTTAATATCATATTATTTGCGTTACTATACTTAAAATACATAAATGCGTACTAGAAAGAAAGAAAATACGTTTATTTAATAAAACACTATTAAAATTTTCTTACAACAATAGCATATTATATTGAATTTGGTAAATGATTACTAAAATGTACCCAACACAGCAGAGGTTTGGTGCTGCCAGAGCACTTCGATGCTAATCTTCTGGGCGTGAATATAATATAATAATTTCATTATTATTCATGATACATAAAATACATAGGTATAATTACATATTTTTATTTGTAATTTATTACGATTGGATTTCATGGGTTTTAATTTTTTTTTGTTCGTTACGCTAATTCTTTTTCTAAAATAAAAGTTGCCTAAGTCTTCCTCTCCTCTCCTCATAATATCAGCTATTTGCCAGTGAAAATCCTATCAAAATCGCTCCAGCTATTTCAGAGAATAGCCGGAACAATCAGACAGACACAAAAGTGTGTCTTTGTTATAAGTACCGTATATACTTTCATATGCATTTAGTCATGATCATTACAACCCTTCAAAGGTTCACTGCTGAACATAGGCCTCCCCCAAAGAACACCACTAAGCCCGGTCCTGAGCCACCTGCATCCATCGACTTCTTGCATGTCTTACCAAGTCTTCACTCCATCTAGTGGGGGGAGGCTCTAGACTTCATCCGCCGCTACGAGGTCGCCACTCGAGAATTTTTTTCCCCTTCGGTTGTCGGTTCTTCGAGCTATATGGCTATATGCCGTAATTTCCCGAACGCTACCCAGCAGAGTTAAATACGTCGATTGACCTCTCGGTCGAAGTTGGACTTACCTAGTCGGACTATATGTTCCAGATAAACATATTCGTCAACAACTTCGAGCTGAGTGCTCCTAACAACTACCGGCATAGGTGTGACATGGAGATTAAACATGATTTTTGTTTTGTCCATGTTCATCTTAAGACCTATTCGTTGGGAGGCACTATTGAGGTCATTGAGTATAGTGCTTAGGTCGTCCAGCAATTTTGCCATAAGAACTATATCGTCGGAAAATTGAAGGTGAGTGATATACTCGCCGTTGATGTTAATGCCGTATCCTTTCCAGTCCAGAAGCTTGAAAACGTCTTCCAATGCAGTGGTTAAGAGTTTCGGGGATATAACATCACCCTGTTTTACACCTCTCTGCAGTTGGATAGGTTTCGTACTCTGGTTCTGTACTCGGATAGCCATCGTAGCCCTATTGTACAAACACTTCAGCACTTCGATATACCGACAGTCAACTTGGCACCGCTGAAAGGACTGCAGCACCTCCCAAATTAGGCTTTCTCATAGTCCACGTACACCAGACATAGCGGCAAATTGTACCTCCTCGGACTTCTGTACAATTTGTCGAAGGGTATGTATGTGGTCTATGGTGCTAAGGCCTTTTCGGAAACCAGCTTGTTCAGGAGGCTGGAATTCGTCAAGTCTGCATGCGAGACGATTCGTAATGACTCTCGAAGACAGCACGTATATGCGGCTCCGAAGGGAAATCGGTCTGTAGTTATTCAAGATAGCGTTGTTGCCTTTCTTGAAGAACAAGACCACCGCACTTCTGCTCCACGCCTCCAGCGTAGTGCCACCATGGAGGACGGAATAAAAGAGCTTCTGAAGGACCTCAAGTACCGGTTTTCCACCCGATTTCAGAAGTTCCGCTGTAATTCCATCCCCGCCTGGGGCTTTGCCATTTTTAAGGTGCTGGAGAGCCATTCTAATCTCGCTCAGACTGACGTCCGGGATATCTTCGGAATCCATATATGTATATAGTGTCGGATAAGACTCGCTCTTGGATCGTTACTCACACTTGCGTGTGGCTCCAACGATGATATGTACAACTGCCCATAGAACCTCTCAATGTCACTTAAAATCTCAGATGTCCCGGAAATAACGCTGGAGCACTCGGTCTTCAGCTTCAACAGTTGGCTCTTTCTGGGAGACAAATCTCTAGCAAAGACTTTGGAGCCCTGGTTCCACTCGATCGCTTTTTTTATAGGATAAGGGTGAAAAACGAGCACACAGTCCACCTAATGGTAAGTGGTTGCTGCAACCCATAGAAATCTACATCTATCCTCTATTACAAATCAAAATGCAGATGCATTTTCACCCGTGAGGACTAGGATGGAATGCCTCATTTCCAGTAAAAAGGGCCTCCGGCCACCTGCACTCACCAAGCGAAACGCAGAGGTAAACCTCTACTTCACGCTGGTATTCTGTGAGGTCGTGGTACCACCCCGGTTCGAGCCGGCCCATCCATGCGACAGCAAAAGCTGCCGCCTGGCTCTACCACTGTTAAAAAAAACTTTTTGTTTTTGTTGTGCTTCTTCAATACGAGCAGTATTAAAGTTGCATCCCATGGCATGCATTTGGAAATCTGTCTGTTCAGTTTCCTGTATGCTGACAATTCTACTGAAGACTGCAGCTTCATTTCCCGCCTAACAGCCATGAGATTAAGAGTGTGATCGGAGAGTTTTGGTGTTCTTCTGCGGCGGGTCTTGCAAAACTTGCTACTTCCAAGTCTTGCAAAACTAGCTCCGACCGCATGGACAGTTTCCACGAGCTTGTCATTCAAATCGTCCACTTCATTGCAGTCTTCTAGGCACTGAAAACGGTTTTGTAACTCGAGCTGAAAGGTTTCGGGACTTTGGAGTAGGGCACGAGGGTCACGGAGCGTTGACTTCATTAAACGTGACCTCTACAACTTAACATTTAGGTTCAATGTGCCTCTCACCATTCGATGATCGCTGCCGGTTTTCACCCTCGTGATCACTGAGACACTGACTGAACAGTTATCGTCTGGTCGTCATAATGAAGTCAATCTCATTGTTTGTCGAACCGTCGGGGCTCGACCAGGTCCACTTCCTGTGTGACCGGTTCTGAAAGCAAGAGAGCATCATAAAGAGTCCCTCTTTCTCCATAAAGTGGGCCAGCTGCTGGCCCCTTGGGTTCCGTTGCCCTATTCCAAATTTCCCTACCTTCAGCTCACCGTTCTTTCTTGTGCCTAGTTTTGCGTTGAAGTCTCCCATTAATACCATATAGTGAGTTTTTTTTTATAGGAGAGGGGGCAAACGAGCATGCGGCTCACCTGATGGTAAGTGACTACCGCCGCCCATGAACAACTGCAACACCAGGGGAATCGCAGATGCGTTGCCGGCCTTTTAAAAAGGAGTACGCTCTTTTCTTGAAGGTCCCTAAGTCGTATCGGTCCGGAAAAATCGCTGATGGTAATCGATTCCACAAGGAGGTCGTGCGAGGAAGAAAACATCTATAACATAACATATATTTGGAGGAATACATGGCTCTAAATATATCCTGATACATTTCCTCCACCTCCTCAACGGGACGTGCCGAGGTGGGTGCATAAGCCTGTGTGACCTTCAGCGTTATACCGTTTGGTGATTCTGAGTATAAGGTTTGCAACCCTCGTAGAATCACGCTCAATCGGACGATAAATCCGTCACCTCCTTGGCACAGATTGTCGCCCTCCCGGTGATGGAACAAGTCCTCCCCCTCTCTTGGGACCTCAGATAATCCTATAATATTCCAGCGAAACTTGTCTATCTCTTATTCCTAGTAAAACATGCGGATTGGCTCTCAATACTCAATACCGACCATACAATACCTTGGGCGCTGCTTCGCATCGCCTGTCTGAGTACCATACGTCTAGCATAAACTAGATTGCTATACTGCCAGCTACGGGAAGTCAGAGATCTTTCCATAATCCCTAGTTTCGAGAGCGAACGAAACTACGTAATGTAGTATCTTGTACCGTCGCCACACTACAAACAAGAAATATTTGTTGAACGAAAGAAATTTTACATAATAATTAAAATTTAGAAATATTTTTTGTTATATTAATATAAAAGCACAGAGATCATATGAAGCAAATCTATATGTTACTTGTGCTTGAAACTGGTAAAGTGAATTCGGCTTGTGGCTTAGAAATTTTTGGCGGTTGATATTGATAGCTTTTGGCCGTTGGCCTATTTTATTCAAATAGATATGTAATGTCCAGAAATGTTACGTAAATATTTGTCATAGCTGACGTAGTTGACGGTATAATGCGTCGAAACAGGACTTTTATGTCAGCGATTTCTTTTATTAAGAGATAATATTACCTTTACGAGTTGTATCCCTCGAGATCGTTCAGTTTATTTTCATTGTTTGTTGCTGTTTCAGTTATTATTAGTGGTCGTTATATTTGTTTATAGATCGTAAACTACTACAGCTCCCTGCTTGTCGCCAGTCGGTAGGTTGTTAACTGGCTTCGAATGTTATGCTGATCGTAAAATGCAAACAAATCGTTTATAAACGGACATTTAGAGAAGTGGTTAGAGCTGTTTGCTTATTTTATCCCAGAGTTATTATATACTATTAAAATTAAAGCACTATAACTTTTACCATCATCATTAAATGATTATAAATACGTATAACAACGATTGTGTGGATAAAAAGTTCTTGCTTTTTCATAGAAGAGAAAAAACAAAACTAGCCTAGATCTAGTATAGATCATCTGATGGTAATTAACTATGGCCATTCATGCGCGTTGCCAGTCTTCTATTAAGGATTACACTTGCTGATAATTGTTGACTAAGAGATTTTGCGATAGCAAAATAATTTTTCACTGCGAAGCAAATATTACAGTTTATATTTACGGAGCAAACAGTCGTTTAGACCTTCCCATTTGGTAACAACGATAAGGTCGAAAAAGGTTTAAATGCTGCGTCAGAAACATGGTACATAAAAGGATCTATTTAGATCCGGCAACCATCTATTTTTGTGTATCTATACGGTGCCTTTATTGAAAAATAAGCCGTCGCCCACGCTTCATCAGGTAAACAAAACAAATATGTAAAAAATACTATTTATATCATTTAAATAAATGTGTACATCAGGCGCTGCTTCGCAGAAATGCATTATATTAAAGATCTTAAAAATTAATTTGCTAATATCCGCGTAATAAAATAAAATGATGGCCTCCCTCAGTCGCATGCACTATTTTCGTCACCACTAATCCCAGTACTACTAGTCCCAAAACCACTTGGAAAGACACACCACCGTCGATAATATGACACTTATTTCGCCTTTAGAAGCATCCTCAGGTGAAGTAGACTTTGCGTTGGTAGACCGCTCATTCCGTAGGATATATCGTTATGAAGAGACTCCGCACAGCTTCCTTGTGAGATTTACTACCACCAGCAATTTTTCCGGATGGATACTACATAGGGACTATCAAGAAAAGAGCCTACTATTTTTTAAAAGGCCGGCAACGCATCTGCAATTCCTCTGGTGTTGCCATTGGTAATCAGCGGCTGTATACACTTACCATCAGGTGAGCCGCATGCTCGTTTGCCATCTCTTTTATAAAAAAGACTATTCGATCGTTCAGCGTTATGCACTAATATTAAAGACAAAAGCAATTGCTTTAAAATTACATTTTCACATCTACAAAAGGGTGTTATAATGTCGGCCCATAATTTGCTTGTTGCGTCATCAGCCCGCCGAGGGTATAAAGTTGGTTATTTTCTCTGACTCGATGCCGGACAGCGACATCTTGCACGACAACCTATTACAACTGAACCTCAACATCCGGATTACCAACGTCCAACTTGTACGATTTTCTTTTCAACTTTCCATTGTTCTGTGGAAAATCCCGAAAAGTTGGTTAAATAAACTTGACACTTAATTAATGATTTCAAGTAATTTTATTCAGTGGGTATTTGCGGAGAAATATTAATAATTAAATTTCTGCTATGGCAAACGTAAATATGATATTAAAGTATGTAATAGTTTAAATTTAACTCAGAAATATGAATATCATCCCGTGGGTATCGCAAGAGGCGATAGAGGGAAGCAAATCAGGAGATAGGCAATATCGCCTTTCTAATAACGACAAGAATAAAAACTACGGTTACCAACCCGCTTAACAAGCGTGGCGTTTATTGCAACTATCCTCCAATGAGACCCAATGATTGCTTCATAGTAGGCTCATAGATCTATGTTCAGAAGTGGATTTAATAGGCTGTAACGGTGGTAACGGTCTCAATGCTAAGCAAGTGCTTCAGTTCCTATTCAGCATCGTGTTTAGTCTATTTGAGCATTTAAGATAGGTGGAGATACATTTACATGTAGACAAGACAGTACTGTACATACAAACAGTAACAGTACAGTAGTGTTAATGTGCGAGAAGGAACTGCCTTGATGTAATTAAAACAGAAAAATAGACGTTACGAATTATAGTACCCTCTATTTTTCTGCTTTAAGTCGTTAGACGGGATATCTAAGTTTCACGGCAGTTTTTGCGCAGCGCGGCAAAAGCACGCCGAGAACATCGACCGGACCCGCTGTTTTACTTTTTGCGTCCGTTACGAATTTACGGCCAGCCAGGCCACTCGACAATATTGCACGACTTTTCAATAACTGCCGGCCGTCCTGGCCGTCCCTTGCAATATTGAATCTTGTACCTAATGAGTTGCCGTGCTCTATCTTGGTAAAAGTTGCTAAAAACATTTCTCGTTATTTTTTTAATATTATAATAAATTAGTCGTGGTAATGTTTTCACTATTATATATTTCACTACATGCGAGCAAACCAGATACAATCTTCGCCGGCCTCAATGAAATTGGCCATTACAATATTAAGTGCTGTTTTACGACGTGCTCCGCGGTGAAAAAAAATATCCTGACAAAACCTGCATGTTTGAAGAATAAAAATTAATTCCTTAAGAGCTGTGGCTATGTGCTGTTTCCGAGTATCATTATGAATCGTCTAGCACGCAGACTTAAACACTTCCTGCTTTCCTGGTACCTAAACCACATACACAACGCATACAACATGTACAGAAAGCCAAATAGTAAAGCTGCCATTTTGTATTGGTAATGTGGACTATGAGAAAGCCTTTACTTTCGTAGAATTTCAGGTGGTACTACAGTAACGTTAGCGGTGCCAGATAAACTGTCGGTATATCGAGGTTCTGAAGTATTTGTATAGCATAGCAAAAACACTATATCCGAGTACATGTCCAGAGTCCGAAACCTATCCAACTGCAGAGAGCGTGACGTTATATTATCGTCGAAACTCTTCACCATTTCATTCGAAGACGTTTTCAAGCTACTGGACTTGAAAGGATACGATATCAGCATCAATGGCAAACGTATCGCTCACCTTTGATTTGCCGACGATACAGTCCTTATGGCGGAATTGCTGGAAGACCTCTTAGCACTATGCTCAATGACACCAATAGTGACTCCTAACGGTCTATCCGTCTACAAATGAAAATCGAGCAGACAACGATCATGCGTAACGTTCATTTCACACCTGCGCCGGTAGTTCACTACGCTCGGAGTTGTTGATTAGTACGTGTTAATCTAGGACAAATTGCTCGATAAGTTAAGTCCAACTTAGATTAAGAGGAGAGAGAGAGAGGGAGATAAAGAAATAGGCATTTTCAAATAAAATAAATCAATGAAAAAGTAATATTTCGAATGAAAAAACTTAAGTTTATACCACTTGTATACCAAGATACTGTAAGTTTATTTTAGGAGCTAGGGTTAATACTGACATCAACACGTTTAACTCTGCAGACCCACCACAACCATGAGATATATGTATAGCACTCGTCGAGAATATACAAAAAGAAGTAAATAAAAAGCAATCGAATTAAATTTGCCTATAGTAGTCCTATATATATATATATATATATATATATATATATATATATATGTAATATTTCAGGAATATATTAATTTGTACATGGTAGAGACATGGTGCAGCTATATTATGATTGTAGCACGAATGGGTCGGCTCGACCGGGAAAGCACCACGCTCTCACAGGATATCAGCGTAAAATAGCAACTCAATGCTGCCTTATTTCGTACTTTAAAATTCGGATTCGGAAACTAGGCCTTCAATCTTAGTCTCCAGGGGTGACATCTTCATTTTAATTCTTAATTGAAGACAAAAGTCTATGGGCCACAGCGTCCACTTACCATCAGGTGGACTGTGTGCTCGTTGGGTACTCTTATCCTATATAAAAAATATTAGTTATTTAAGCAACTTGTATTTAACAAACATATATTAAACATTATTTTGCGTTTATGTTTAAGGAAATAAGTATCAATCAAACCTGAACGAAATTGATAGACGAGAATCAGGGAAGCAGAAAACAGATGAGGGTGGTGGAAAAACGCATCTTAACTGGGTTGGCGGTGCATCGCAAGTCACAGGTACTAACAACAATTACAAACAGTAGCGCCACATTATGTATAATATTTGACGAAACTTGTTTTTAAGACTTTTTCTTGTTTTTTTTTTAATTATTAAATTTTATAGTTCTCATAAAATACCAGCGTGAAATAGCTACAGAGTGCGGCTTAACGTGAAAAAACCAACGACCCATCTTACTGGTTACGAGATATTCCATCTTATTTCAAAACTGGATGCGTTTTGATATAAGATGGAATATCTCGTTTAGATTCTTAAGCGATATAGATGTCTATGGACACAGTATAGTGGACTGCGCACACGCGTGTTACCCTTACATCTACAAAAAAGAAAAAAAGAAAAGGGAACTATTCGAAGGAAGTTCCTTATCGGACGATACGAATTTGGCAGATGACGATTAGGCGAGAAAAAGTGTAAGATTTTTCCGTCACGACCCCTTCTGACGTAGTGTAGACGACCTTGGCGGCTATAACGAAGCGAGATGGATCCATCTCCCTCGCACTTTTGATTGTCTTGCCATGAACGAAATATTATTTTATTTTAAATGACGCTTCATTTTAATATAATCTAGTAATGAATTTATATGTATTTGTTAGTCAATAATATAATACGTTTATCAATAATAATATACCTACTACGAAAGGAACTTCGTTCCAACTGAGTGTTCCACGATACTCACGCATATTTTATTTTATTAAAAATGACTCAATATAAAGAAACAATTTTTAATTTTATCCTAATATTGCAATATTAAGCTCTTCTAAACTATCTATATTGTGATTAAGATGAATTTATTCTTGCAGGCGATGCAGATTGGAGGAGAAGCCATCCATGGGTTTTAATTTTGTTATATCTATTTCAATTTATTTAATTAAAAATATTGATTTCTCGAGAAATCTCTTATTATTTGTTCTCTAGAACAATCTTTAGGGAAACACGTTAAAATGTAATAAAGAATAACAACATTTCTTTTTTTCATTTTTTAAAAACATTTCACAAAAGCCAGTTTGTGAAATTAAATAAGATTTTTGTAGGATTTTTGCAACTTGACGATGATCTATTAAATGTCATTCTTGTGGTTAACAATATTCTATCGCTCAATTAATCTTTCAAGCCTACGTAACACGAAGAATTTTTAAATGGTTATTATAATATTATAAATGAATTATTTCGGCCTGTATTATCTTTATAAAATCATTATAAATTACGAGAATAGCCTTATTATTATAACAAAATGTAAATGTTTTTTTGAATTAATTCCAATAGAATCCTGATATTTTAAGTTAATTATAAGCTGTCAAAATCGTGTTAGAGAACTTTGTATATTTATTTTTCTTTTTTCACCAGTCTCTGGAAACAGGTATTTAGAATATACTTAGTAATAATTATAGGTAGTAAGCAAATCGTCACTTACAATCTTGACACCTTTATTAAAATTACATCACCTGTTGTTTTTATATGTCATAGAAAAATTATAATTATGTATAAATATTGTTATTAATTATATTTATAATAATGTATAACAGTTCCTTGAATATTAATTATTATATTACGTGCACGGTGCAGTAGATTTAAAAATTAAGATTTCTTTTGTTTGAATAGTATCCAAACGTTGTTTACTAGCGCCTTACCTATGTTTATTTGTTAAATCTACTGAACCGTGATATCTAAACTCACATGCACATGTATTAATATAATATAAAGTGCACACAAATCAACGGTTTAAAATGTAGCGTAAGACTGAAAAAAAATATATCCTCTTAGCAACTTACTTTATGAGCTTCTAAGCATCATGTTTGCTGTGATAAATGATTTGAGTTAAATAGCAGCACTAAAAAATATTAATCAAATGAAAAAAATAGTTTTGTTTATCCTAGCTAGTATATAGGTAATAAAAAATATCTACAAATAACACAAAATACCTACTGCAGTTTTAATTATTTAATAATTTGAGTGAAGTACTTAATTTCCCTCACCCATATGCTTCAATTAAAAAGACAGATCGTACTCTTTTAAATGTAGAACACCTACGCTAACTTAAATATCTGTATCTTCTAGCAACGCAAATTGTAATCCAGGCCGAAACTTTGTTGCTTAAATTTTCGGTGGTTTACCTGAACACATCTTTTGTTCATCCTAACGTTTTTTTTTAAAAAATATTATTTAGCATTAATTTATCATGTTATCCCAACTTTCTTCTGTCAATTAATATTTTAAATAGATGATGTATTGACTTTAATGTTATATTTAACATGTTGCCAAATTGCTAAGTATAAGACGTAAGCTGCATAGTTAAAATTGATGTAAATATATCCATTAAGCCAAAGTAATGGAGTGTGTTTTTAATAACAGTGTTTTGACTGTTCAAAATGTGCATTGTACGAAGTATTATATTTGTAAGCCTCCTTACGTAACTATACGTACGATTTTGTGAATGAATAGGTTATAAACAAAATAAAGCTTGTTTTAAAAATGTTGTTTTAATGAAGTCAAACCTCTTCTTCCTGTTTTCAATTTTAGCTTTGATAATTATTTTGATTGTAAACGCTTAGTTACTTAACACTTAAGACTGAATCAAAACACTAGAAATTCCTTTTTTAATTGATGATTAAACAAACGTTTTACTACCAACGTAATGAAGATTAATAACTTTTAGTTCGTAATGGTGGTCATCCTAATATGAGAGTAGTCCGATATTGAAAATCGTGTCGGAAAACTGCTATCGACAAAAGATTTTAATCATTGGCTGCAGGCACTTAAAATGAACGCACTACAAATATGTATTGTTTTGCAAAAATGCACATAAAACATATAAATTTACAATTTGATTACACTAAGATGACATAATTATGTACCTATTTATTTACAATTTTTTTTTAATTATATAATGGACCCTGATGAAGCCGTAAGGCGAAACTGATGCGGTTATATAATTTAGCCGGCACCATAATTATTTGTAGACCACACCTTGTATGGCCTTGTTCCGCGTGGGATTTGATCCCAGGCCCTGTAACGTCTCAATATAACGCCTGGCCACAGGTCTCCACTGTCAAAATTATATTTAAAGTGTTGCTATTTATTTTACACAAGTCGCTTATTAAAATATAATATGTTTGTGCTAAAAATTCCAAGAACAAGATTAGCATTAAAATGTCGTTTTGGCCTATTCCATCAATATAATTTATGCACAGAGAGTTTTCATCCATCATATTTTGATGGACCAAAATGCTTGCAAACAATATGCGGCGGATTTTTGTAGATTAGGGGTTGGCTTTTTGGGGCGCCGAAGAGGCTCCAACTACGTATGGCCGCTCGCCAACTCCCGTAAGCCAATCTAACTTCTTTTAAATGTGTTTTTGATGTAAAGAACACATTACGGTACGCATCGCTTGCCACAAATCTAGAACCAAATTAGCTTTTTATTTATTGGATCTCGACTTTATAACTGCCTCACATTAAGAAATAAATTAAGATTTTTTTCTTTTTCGATCAATATATTGAACGAGAAGTGTACATACATATTAAATATTTATAACTATAGTCTGATGATTTATTAAAAAAAAACTTTTTATTTTTTCTGGATTTTAATTTAAATGGGTTTAATTATAGGAAAATTCAATCGATTCTTATTACGTACTTTTCACAGTGATTGTCAAATTACGTGATGTGGGACATAAATGAAAAAGCTAGGCATCATCCGTATGTTTGTATATCGCATTATCGACTGTTACAACAACAATTCAGTTATCGAAGGTCAAAAAATACCAGGCAACTCCTTGCTTTTAGTACCAGATGGAGTGTCAAAGCCAGCATTTGACGAAACTAAACTATACTTCATAAGAACTAAAGACTGCCCCTCGCTCTATACAAGTCTAAACCCGCTGGCTGGACTACAAATTGTATACTGATACAACTTCATGTAGCAGTGGTTAAATTCAACATAGCGACAGTGCATAAATCTTTCTAGATTCATATCTAGAGAATATAATATTATGTGTATATTATATAAAACAAATCAAAATAAAATATTCATAAATTTCAAAACACCAAAAATTCATTTAATGTAATTAAAACTTGTAGCGACTTGTATTTATGATTACAATCACATGTATCGCTAACTACTCATATAGGTAATAGGATAGTAATAAAGGTAATTCGTAAAACGGGCTCTCAATAAAATATACAATAAACCTTACCACAACATTTTCAAATTTAAAATTCACTTAACGAGAGTCAATACCATGTAACCTTTTATCATAATTGTCACGGTTTTAGTAGCGGGCTCATTACTTACCCGCAACACGATAGGCGTGGACTTACTTCCGTCAGAACCGGACACCATGGGGGACCAAATAAAATTAACGCTTATTGCCTTCCGTTGAAATCACCCTTAAATTATGGAGTTGAGTTTTATAAAGTTTCTCAATTTTTTTTATTCCACTTCACTAAATAAATTATAAGTATTGGATTTTAATGTGATTATTTGTTTTCATTTTGTTTCGTAATATAATGTATGCATATTAATGAGTAAGTAAAACTATTCTTCACAATGAGTTTTTAAATAAAGAAGTTCCTTATCGGACGGTACGGGTTTGGCGGATGGGAGCTAGGTTCCTATATAGGACAGTTATTATACTCTTTGGAGCTAGGCGACAAAAAGTGTAATATTTTTTCGTTACTACCCCTTGTGTCATAGTGTAGACGGCCTTGGCGGCGAAATAAGGAAGTGAGATGGAATAATATCCATCTGCCTCGCACTTTTTCTTAACTTAAACTGAAATATTATTTTATTTCAAATGACGCTTCATTTTAATAGACGCTAGTAATTCATTTATTTGTATTTGTTAAGCAATAATATAATACCTACGTTTATCAATAATAATATACTACGCAAGGAACTTCGTTCCAACAGAGTGTTCCACGACACTCACACATTTTTTTGAATTGATTTCTTTCGGTTGTTCAAGTATTCTGGAAGAATAGTATAACTTGTCTTATACGTGGTGGCAGAGTAATAGTCCGTTTGTCCTGGTGTAAGAGCTATCTATACCATGTACCAAAATACGACATCTCAGAGCTTCAGAATTGAAGATTTCAGAAGAATAAAAATAGCAGTAATCGGTTAAGGATGCAGACTGCGCACTTAAACAAGTGAAGTGTTCGGATTTGCCATTCGACTACTGTCGTGAATCACACTAATACAAGCATTTTAAGCTTACTTAGACTAGTAATTGGGAATGGTAATAACATTAAAAGTATATTTTAATTTGATAAATTTAAATAAATATAAAATATAAAAATATTATGCTTAATATAAATTATCAAAAATGGCGACAGATCGCGGAACGCATACCTGTACAAAGAGTTTAAAGATTGCATGTCTGGTACATCGCATTTGAGTGTCGGTACTAGTACTTACGTAGGTAAAGGTAATAGCTAATCCGCCTCTGGTGTGTAAGAATAACGCGAATCCATGGAAGAGGGCATGTCCAGCAAAGCGCTAGTTACGAACGAACAAGAAGTAATATTTTATATTGAATTGACATTGAATAATCGATACCGGCCTTCCTTAAGTGGATGAATAGCTACTTATGTTATCCTAGTCCCGCCGTCGGTCAATTTGTTGACCAAAATGTAAACAAAATTAAAAGTCGATTAGTCAAGCATAAAGCATTTCTTTTTTTTTTATAGGATAAGGGTGACAAACGAGCACACAGTCCACCTGATGGTAAGTGGTTGCTGCGGCCCATAGACATCTACATCTATCCTCTATTACAAATCAAAATGCAGATGCGTTGTCACCCGTGAGGACTAAGATGGAATGCCTCATTTCCAGTAAAAAGGGCCTCCGGCCACCTGCACTCACCAAGC